CCAGATTCACTTAACAACTATGTAGTGCATTGATTCACTTAACAACTGTGGCAAGAAAGGTCATAAAATGGGGCAAAATACACTTAACAAATGTCTCACTTAGCAACATAAATTTTGGGCTCAATTGGTTGTAAGTCGAGGACTATCTGTATTTAATTTATATATCCTACTAGATAATGGTATCCTTCCCCTTTTAGTTAATGTGAAAATAAACATTTAGATAACTAGGAGCAATCTTTTTCCTCATTAGATAATCTGTTCTAATGAAAGGACTTTTCCTTCAGCCTATAAAATATTTGTTTCTAGTTCCTCTTTTTTCTGGTTCTCTCTTATGGATTACTTCGGCGGGCAAAAGTCTGAAGAAGAGATCAAGTTGCATCATAACTCTGATGTAGATTGCAAAGGCACAGATTTCAAGAGAGGTCATTCTGAAGAATAAAGGGGGAAGTGGGATATGGATATGGCAAAGATGAGCTTAGAAACAAAAATCTGTCTGAGGTAAAGAACACTTTGCTGAACATTAGAATCGTGTCTTTAAACAACCCTCTTTTATGAGACAGTAGTGGTCAGTGCAGTAAAATTAACAACAAATTTGTGATAAAGATTAGGAAAACCCACTATCTGTTGTACATTACAGATAGTGTGAAGCTGTATGGTTTCCCAAGAGAGAATTTGATTTTTTGTGGGAATCCATTGGATTCTTTCAAAGGAAATATGACAGTCACCTTACTCCAGCTTGGCAAAAAGTTTGTACCTATGAAATGCTTGAAGAACTGCCTGAACTTGTTCAGTGTGAATTGTTGGTGTTTTTGAGTAAATCAGCAAATGAACTTGTTTACCCTACTGTGAAAAATTGATTCATAAATCTTATACATAAATCTTTACCCAGACCAAATTGCAATCTCAGGAATAACGTTTGTAGCAATTGCAGAATGAGTGGGAAGAGAATAGAAGTAAAATAAAATGAAAAGTAGAATAAAAAGATTTTTAGGAGGAATGCATTGTAACATTACCTTCTTGCCTGCCATTATATTGAAAGACCTGAAGTGTAATAGGAATTACTTCAATGTTTATTACTATGTTAAGATCTAATCTTAATATTGGATGTTCTCCAGTCGTGTTCTCTCTATTAATATTTTTTAGGCTTCTGAGCTGAGCAAATTACTGCCATTTGTTTCCCCATGAAATGGTTATGAAATTAACAAAAATAAATTATATTATTTTTCTCATGCATAAAAGTACTCCTTTTGTGGTATCAAATAATGACAGTATCTCACAAAAAAAATTCCACACTGTTGTTTTACACAATAGGCAATTCCAAACTGAATCCTTGGTTCACAAACAATTACAAATTGTTGTATTACACTCAGGATATGCCCACTTTAATTACCCTCAGCTTAAGAACCACTGTTGTTGCAATAGATTGGCTGTTTTAACCTTTTGTTGTGAATATGTATTTGAGAAATACACCTGTCATGGTTCCGAGTAGAAGTTTTCAAAGAACTTTGAGACATTGTTTTCCTTAAAAAATCTTTTTAATTACTACATAGCTTCAGCACGTACATAGTGAAGCCAAAATCTGAATTCTCCTCCCCCCAATCACTCGTAACAAAGCATAACTCACTCCTTCATTTAACAGTCATCAGTCATGTTCTCCAATTAGTTTGAAGTGTGAACTTTCCCTCCCGTATCTCTTCTGGTTACAACTAACCTTGAAAAATACTGTACTGAAATATTCTTATGGCTAACTATTCCCCAAGTACATCCTTTCCCCCCTCCCTTCCAACACTATCTAACTTTAACTCTAGAGCAGTGGTTCTCAACCTTTTTATACGGCGACCCTGGACATAAGCAGGCGGCACGCATGCGTGGCACCGCCCCTGCACAGCACGCATGTGCGGCGGCACCCCCTGCATGGCACGCATGCGCGGCGCCACCCCCATGCACCGCCCCCTGTGTGGCGCGTATGTGCGGCGGCGCCCCCTGCACCGGCTGACAAAAAATGGCGGATCGCGTTGTTTGGCGACCCCCGTGAAATGGTCAATCAACCCCAAATGGGGTCGCGACCCACAGGTTGAGAACCGCTGCTCTAAAGTAATACACAGGTTAAATAGGGAATGTCTGCTTCTTCATATATTGTCAAGCAAGAACATTCGATGTTAGCAGCCTTGACAATACCACAATAAAAATAGTTACAGTTGCATTTATAATATCTATAAAATCTTTGCCTTTGTTAATGTTACATAATCACCAATTAAAACTGACATAAAATATTATTGCTTTTTTAAAAATTTTATTGAGAAATTTTACTTGAATGAAAGAAAAGTAAGAAATATATAAAAAGAAAAAAGAAAAACCACAGGAAACAATACAAAGAAAACAAAGAAAAACAGATAAAGAAGTATCTTCTTCATAGCAGTTACAATCAAAATTATTATCCCTCCTTCTTAAACACATCCATAATTTCTTTGTCCCCTTATTCATCACTTTTCGATTGACTAATCTAAAATTCATTATTTTAGCTCTTTCTATTTGGAGCAAAAGGTTCATAAAAATTTCAGTATTGTGCAAAAATACTTGTTATTTTATCTTCTATTGTATTTCAATATATCACCATATTATGGAACAATAATCTTAATAGCTGACAAAATAATGATTAATACAAACTAAAATAAAAAATAAAAATAGTTACAAAAAAGAAAGAAAAGGTAGAGAAAAAGTAAAGAAGGAAAACAATTAGTAAAGAAAAAGAAAATGAAGAAACGACTTAAGAAACTTTAGAATCTTATGACTTCCTCATAAAATAATGCATGAGGAAAACCCTTTGGGAATGAAATCCACTTAAGGTTGGCATTAGGTCCATATGAAAGAAGTTAGTCAGAGCAATGTGACAGAAGGTTTTGGAGATTCTTTTTATGGTTATTGGGGCTCTTAGTTTTCCCTGTTTCCATATATTATTCTTCTGGCAGAATGCATGGAAAACCACCTAAGATTAAGTTAGGTCCCCATTTACTCAGTGAGTAAATCCAACATGACAGAGAGGTTCAGATAAGCAGTTCATGGTTAGTTGGCCTCTTACATTTCTGTTCTATCTCATATTATGTTTTTTGGGCAGGGGATATATATGGAAATCTGTTATAGAAATCTAGCTAACTAGGTTAGTCCCTCATGAAATCAGTTAGAAAAAGCAAGATGGGAGAAATATTTGGGGGGGGGGGGTGAGAGAAACTATATCTGGTGAAGCAAGGGGAATTGACTCCTACACTTTCCATAAGTATGGATACCTGATTTTTATGAGCAGGAAAGAGAAACCATCATTTTTACATCCACTTTCAATCACTTGTGGGTCGCCAGTTCCATCATACAATGAGTTTTAAATGCAGTCTTTGAAGGACTCATGGTTTGACTAAATCTCATCCTTTCAATCACTTTATAATTTTATTTATTAGTTTTTTATGATAAAAAAACCTTTAAAACCACAAGTCTATAATGGGTGGGATTCTGTTCAATTTGTTTAAAAAGAAGCAAAATTATGCCCTTTCAACATCATAAGAGCTTTATTTTTTGCTATTTCTAGCTCCATACAGCAAAGATGTGATTTCCGGTTTGTTTATGGAACACTTTATAAATGCTAAGGATTTATGAAATTGACCTAAAGAATGTATAAGTAGAAAGAGCCTCATGTGGGAAAAATCTGTCTTATTTACATATGGATTGCAAACAAGACTTTGAATGTCAATTACTAGAGCACATAGTGGCTGTTTTAAAGGAAATGTTTAATTTATGAGTTGCTGAAGTACTCAAGCTTTTTAACTCTTTACTGAAACCAACAATTATTACTGAAGATGAGCAAATTCCTCTGGATATAATTGTAATTGATTTTAAGGCTTATTTAAAAATTACAAATGAAAGATGTGGAAATATTGAATGTACAATTAGATGATAACTTAAAAACTGTAAAAGATATACAAATAATGTATCAAAAATAGCAATGTGGTCTACCCACTAAAATTGAAATATAAGAGATTTTCTGGAGCTACCTCAGGGAAATTACAAGTGAACCTCAATAAAGGTAAGAATGTTGAAAGAAGAGGTAAAGATGATCGAAGGAAAGAGGAGTTAGCATTTTGTTTATTGGGAGGAAGAAGCAAAAAATTAAACTGATTTATCTGATCATGGTTTAAAGAAAGAGTTCCTGTTTCTGGGGTGCTTTGTGATTATCTGGATTGAATAGTTTTTCTTTTGCAAAAGTTAAAATTGTAATGGATTTTTTATTATATTATTTTTGACATTTAAATAAGGGCTTATTATTTTGGTAATGTTAAACGGTTTTTCTTTTTCTGCAATGTTTATGTGAGATTTTTTTGCACATAAAAGGGTCCTGGATGAAATGGATTATCTGGACCCTTTCCGTTAAGATTCAGGTCTGGATATGGATTAAAATGGTATTGGTTGCACTTTTCAATTATTTCTGGCAAATGCTATTTGGATGGAAATTCAGCTAGGATTAGGCTCCTGTGAATTTAGTGAGAAAAAATGAACATCACAGTTATATGGGGAGACACATTTTATTGATTATGGGGCTGTTACATATGCAGCTAGTTACATTTTAGTATCTTGGCAAAATGCATGGGAAATCCCTTTTGGCTATAAAAACAATTCATAGAAATTAATGTTTAACATGTTTATATTTAAGCTTCCATGAAATCATTGAGGAAAACCAAAATTATTAATTATGAGGGCCCCTTTATGTTTCTTTTATTTCTGTTGTGCCTAGTTTTAATAGCTTGGTAAATAGATTAGGAGATCCTATTTGGTTGGAGATTCATGTAAGGTTAGGATTAGGCTTCAATGAAATTGAGAGAAAGCAACATCACTAGTATGGAGAAGCCATGTATATGTAGTGGGTGACCAACATTTCTGTTCTTCCACTTTTAATTCGTAGGCAAAGCACACTGGAAATCCTTTTTGGGATGGAAATTCATAAGGCTACAGAACCAGAAAATGTATATAGACAACAGAGTGAACATGAGCTGGTCACTGTCTCAGCCTTAGGAAAAAGGTAATAACAGAGCTTCTGAAAATGTTACCAGGAATCTAAAAAACATGGATTAAGAAAAAATATGTAAGATTGCTCTCTCTTCCTCTTATAATTATTAATGTATTATGTTGTACAGGTAGTCCTCAACCTACCACCACAATTGAGCCCAAAATTTCTGTTGCTAAGTGAAATATTTGTGAAGTGAGTTTTACTCCATTTTACAACCTTTATCAGTTGTTAAATGAATCACTGCAGTTATTAAGTTAGTAATAGTTAAGTAAATCTGTTTTTCCCATTTCTCATTTTATAACCCAGCAGCTTATAAAAGGTGATCGCATGACTCCAGGACACTGCAACCGTCATAAAATGAGTCAGTTGCCAAGTGTCTTAATTTTGATTACAGGGTGTTTCAGTGGTCCTAAGTGTGAAAAATTGTTGTCACTTTTTTTTCAGTGCCATTGTAATTTTGATCGGTTACTAAATGAACTGTTGTAAGTCGAAGATTACCTGTAGTTGGTTGTTATATCTCATCTATCACTGAATCATATATTCAATACTTCTGTGATTAAGAGAAAGCCATCGGGATCACTGAGCAGAAATTCCAGTTGGTCAGATTCTTGTCCTTACTTTATAGTACATGATTGTGCCTTCAGAGATGCCTTTGTTTCTAGAACATAAAACGGCGGGAGTAACAAACACCAAAATAAAGCTCCCCCCCCCCAATCACTCATGTGCAGCGTTTCTGCTTAGCTTGTTATTGAACAGCCGAATCTTTCTCTTTGCAGGACAAGGATTCCCTTCTATTAGAAGCTCCGCGTTCACGGGCGGAGTTTCAGTTTGAAGCCTTAGTCGCCAATCAGAATACGGATTCCGGTTGCGGGGCAACAGCTCTCCAGCCGCTGTGTGCAAAAGAAGCTTGCGTCTCCTTGGAGACACGGACTCGCGGTGCACGAAGCTGGCTCGCTTAGAGGCCGCCATGAGCTCCCGCGGAGGCGAGCAGGGAAGCTGCGGATCCATGGACGTCGACGGAGTGCGCATTACGCCGCCCGAGCTACGTTTCGTGGATGCGATGCCAGGCAGTTGTTACAGAGCGCTGCTCAGCGTCCAAAACCTGCAGACACGCAGCTGTTCGCTTCATTTACTACCTCCGGAACGGCCTCAGGTGGGACGGGAACAAGGCAGTCTCAGCCAAGGGAGTGGAGCGAAGAAGTTAGAAATCTTAGTCAGGACCTGACTGAGGCTTGGGAATGCCCTGCTGCTTTACCGTGAAATTAGCTATTTCTGTAAGCTCCGGACAAACTCTTTTTTTAGCCGGTATCATATTGGACGGAGTTAGTTTTGTTTCGGCAGCATCAAACCTAATGAGTCTTAATGAGAAACCTCTTTGGCAACAAACCTTTAATTTGGTGTCCATCTTTGGGAAAGAAGCCTACTTAAAGGGGGGGGGGGGAAGAATACTGAGTGGGTTACTGGAATTAATATAATAATAGTAATAATAATAATAAAAAATAAGATATACAACTGTTCTCATTTGGAAACCAGGTATCTCTTCCTCAGGAAGAACAAAACCCTCTAACTAAAGAAACAAAAGAACTGAAATGAAGAATAACTGAGCATCTGGAACAGCACAAAAACAACAGAATAAGGCTGCCTGCACTGAAGCTTGTTCCAAAGAAACAGCTAGCGCAAGCATTAAAAGATGCAAATATTGCACTATCAAGTATAAGCACCAATTTACTGCAAGAAACAAACCAACTAATGTACAGCACAGCTGCAGTTATAACTGAATACCTGGGATGCAAAATCAACAAAGAAGAAAAACAAACTGCACCAGAAAAATGGAAGGTTAGACTAGAAAATAAGATCAGCAAGTTAAGATCACAAGCAAGCAAGCTAGAACAGATGACAGAAAAGAAGCTGAAGAACAAGAAGACCAAAGAATACCTAATCAAGAAATACCACTTAGAAACAAGGAAGATCAAGGAAGCACTGGAAATAATAAAGCAACAAATAACAGCTATAGCCAGGAAAATCAATAGATATGAAGCTCGAATTGCAAACTATAGGCAGAACCTCCAACTTCAATCCAATCAGAAACGTTTCTATCAATCCATCAATGGAGAAACTGCAAGGAATCAGTCAGTACCTGACAAGGAAGAAACAGTGCAGTTCTGGAAGCAGATATGGGATAACCCAAAGAAATACAACAAGGATGCAGCTTGGTTAAAAGAGGTGGATGCAAATAAAACAGAAGTTGAAATGAAAGAACTAGTAATAACAACAAAAATGATAGAAAAAAAAGCAAGGAAAATCAAAAATTGGTCAGCACCAGGTGAAGATGAACTGCATGGGTTTTGGCTGAAACATCTAACTGTTATACACCCACTCATTGCCAAGCAGTTCAACAATATACTACAAGGAGGAGAAATTGAAAAGTTGCTAACAACTGGGAAAGCCTACCTAATAATGAAAAATCCAACAAAAGGGGCAACACCAGGCAACTACAGGCCAATTACCTGCTTACCAACAACTTTCAAATTACTAACTGGTGTAGTAGCTGATGCAGTACAACAGCATCTAGTAGAAAACAATCTCTTTCCACCTGAGCAGAAAGGAAACCGCCCCAATAGCAGAGGAACAAAAGATCAACTTCTAATAGACAAAATGATCTTGGAAAACTGCAAGAAAAAGACCAACCTGAATGTGGCATGGATTGACTACAAAAAGGTATTTGACTCTCTGCCACATGACTGGATAATCAAGTGCCTAGAAATAACAGGAGTCAGTAGAAACATCAGAAAATTTGTGCAAATATCGATGGCACAATGGAAGACACAGTTGCAGATCAATGGTGAGAGGCTGGGAGAAGTTAATATCAAGAGAGGAATATTTCAAGGAGATTCATTATCACCATTACTATTTGTTATTGCACTGTTTCCTCTGTCAACAATACTGAATAACTCAGGACATGGCTATCAAACATCAAAAACATCTACCAGACTATCACATCTCCTTTACATGGATGATCTGAAGCTGTATGGAAAAACATCATCTGAAATAGAATCGCTGCTCGCTGTATGGGAAAACATCATCTGAAATAGAATCGCTGCTATATGCACTGTCCGTATATATAGCCAAGATATTGTTATGGAGTTTGGCTTGGACAAATGTACCACACTTACTATCAAACAAGGAAAAGTAGTGAAAACTGAAGGAATCAAGATGCCCCACGAAAATAACATTAAGAGTCTGGATGAGGAAGATTACTACAAATACTTGGGTATCCTTCAAGCTGACAGCATCAAGCACACTGAAGTCAAGAAAAAGATTAGAGGTGAATACATCAAGAGAGTGAAGAAGATCTTAAAGTCCAAACTCAATGGAGGAAATACCATAAAGGCAATCAACACCTGGGCAATTCCAGTCATTAGGTACACAGCTGGAATAGTGGACTGGACTCAAGCAGAACTAAAAGCAATGGATAGGAAGACCAGAAAAATAATGACAATGAATCATGCCTTTCATCCATGCAGTGACATTGACAGACTTTATCTACCAAGGCAAATAGGTGGGTGTGGAATGCTACAAGTACATCAGATGGTTGAAGAAGAAAAAATGGCTTTGGAACAATATCTGAAGAACAATGATGAAGATGCACTGAAATTAGTATATCAGGAAGGCTTACTGACTACTGGAGAGACAAACTGGCCTACAAGAAAGACCAAATGAAGAACAGAATAGAGGCATGGGAAGACAAAGCACTACATGGCCAATACATTAAAAAAATAGCTGGGAAAGCAGATAATAATCAAACCTGGCAATGGCTGAGAGCAGGAAAATTGAAGAAAGAAACCGACCTGGCTGCACAAGACCAAGCCTTAAGGACAAATGCATACAAAGTCAAAATTGAGAAGACAGCAACAGACAGTAAGTGCCGCCTATGCAAAGAAGCTGAAGAAACAGTGGACCACCGGGTAAGCTGTTGCAAGAAGATTGCACAGACTGATTACAAGCAGCGGCATGACAAAGTAGCAACAATGGTGCACTGGAAGATCTGCAAAAAATATCATTTGCCTGTAAGCAAAAACTGGTGGGATCATAAAATAGAGAAAGTCATAGAAAATGATAAAATTAAACTGCTCTGGGACTTCAGAATTCAAACAGACAAGCACCTGCAACATAACACCCCAGACTTAACAATTGTCGATAAGAAAGACAAAAAAGTCTGGATAGTGGACGTGGCAGTGCCTGGAGACAGCAGAATTGACGAGAAAGAACTGGAGAAGATAACAAAATACAAAGACCTACAAACAGAAATAGAAAGACTGTGGCAAAAGCAAGCAAGGATAGTACCAATAGTCAAAGGCGCCTTGGGTGCAATCCCAAAACAACTGGAGCACCACTTGAACACCATTGGTATTGACAAATTCGCTATTAGTCAATTGCAAAAGGTGGCCTTACTAGGAACTGCTTCCATCCTGTGACGATACCTGTAATACCATCAAACATCCATATCTGCCTATCCCAGGTCCTGGGTAAGGACTCGATTGATAGACAAAATGCCAAATCCAGTCTAAACGTCTGGCTGACTGTGCGATGATCCATAACAACAACAACAACAACAATAATAATAACAACAATATAAAGTTGGAAGGGGCCCTGGAGGTCATCTAGTCCAACCCCCTGCTCAGGGAGGAAACCCTATACCATTTCAGACAAATGGCTGTCCAGTCTGTTCTTAAAAACTTCCAGTGTTGGAGCATTCACCACTTCTGGAGGCAGGTTGTTCCACTGGTTAATTGTTCTAACTGTCAGGAAGTTTCTCCTTAGTTCTAGGTTGCTTCTCTCCTTGATTAGTTTCCTTCCGTTGCTTCTTGTCCTGCCTTCAGGAGCCTTGGAAAATAGCTTGACTGCCTCTTCTTTGTGGCAGCCCCTGAGATATTGGAATACTGCTATCATGTCCCCCCTCGTGCTTCTCTTCATTAAACTAGACATACCCAATTCCAGCAGCCTTTCCTTATATGCTTTAGCCTCCAGTCCCCTAATCATCTTTGTTGCTCTTCTCTGTACTCTTTCTAGAATCTCAACATCTTTTTTACATCGTGGTGACCAAAACTGGATGTAGTATTCCAAGTGTGGCCTTACCAAGGCATCGTAAAGTGGTATTAATACTTCACGTGATCTTTTTTTTATTTTGAAAATATTTTATTGGTTTTTTAATTTCTAAGAAAAAGTACTCAGGACACACTGTGGTATTTGGGCAATCAGACACTTCAGAATAAAAACATGAATAAACAACTCAACTCAATACATTCACAATCTCCTTTCCATTTCCCTCAAATAACATAATACATTCAAAACATTCCATTTCTAAACCAAATCTCCATCACTACTAAACCTGTTCTAAAACTTTATCAGTTTACAATTACCAAAATCAAATTTCACTTTAACTCAACAAGTTGTCAATTCAGGTATCCCTTCCAGATATATTCTAGTTCTTAATTTCTCTCATCCCTCTTTTTATCACCAATCTCATTTATGTCTTCTTCCATTATACAATAGCTATCTTAATTAAAAAATAATGTTAATTCACTTCAATTCATTTCAGAAACTTCAAATTTCATCCAATTAATTGTGATACCTTATCACATCTATGTTATTGTACAAAAAAATCATCTAAGTTAAAACACTCCATTAATTATTAAAACCATCCCAATCTAAAAAATAAACATTTTTTCAATTCCAACACATAATTTTTATCAAATAAATCTGTTATTCCAAAAAGTATTCTTAAGCTATTTAAAATATCTTTTCTAAAAGTCACCCTCATATATATATGTTTATATTTTTTCTTGCTTCTAACTCTAAATCATAATCCTTAAAACAATCCATAAATCAAACATTGCCTTTAAATCCATTACACACTTTTAAATTTCTCTTTTCAGTCTAATTCTGGCTATTTTCCTGTGCCAAGCAGGTTTCCATAGGGACACTTCCCTTTCAGCCAGTAGATCTGTCTTTGTTGCTTGCTGTAGCCTTTGCAGTAATAACAATCACATCCTCTGCATTAGACGTCTGTATGTCTCCTCCTTGAAGGGTCGTTGCTTTGTAGTTTGAAATCTCAGTTTTTGCTTCTTCAGTTCCTCAGAGTTGCAGATGGAAGGTTTGTAAGATAGAATAAGTTCCTCTTTTATCTCTCTTAATTCCTCTTCTAATATATTTTGATTTATACCATAGTCAGATATAGCCTGGACGTCCATTTGAACATTTGAAGTGAAATCCCTAGATCTTAGTTCTGTAGTAAACTTTTTCATTGTAGCACATATTTCTGCGGTAGCCTCATAGATCTTTTCCAATATAAGTGTACAGTTTAAATGTGACTGAGGTTTCTCCATTTTGATAGTAATTAAAAAGAGTCTCTTTTTTCTTTTTTTGTGGAGGCTATATTTAATATAATTTAGGCAATATCCACCCCCACAGTTCCCACAGTTACCCAGCTTATCTTTCCTCTTCAAAAGGAAGGTCAGTTGTCTTCAGACCAAGTAACCAGAGGCTGCAGTATTAAATTTTCGCCACTAGATGTCCTCCGTAAGTTAAAAAAGGTCTTTTCCAAATGCCATTTCCCTTTTTCTTTCTTTTAAAGTATAATGTGAAAAATAATCTTCCAGCATAGGATGATAGTACAGTTCTTAGAAAAAGAGGAAAAGAACAGAATTTTTTTTTTCTGTACCCCCAAAAATATAAAAGTAAATATAGTCTTTAGAATTTTGTTCTATTTTTATAGAACGCCTTTCTTCCCAGAAAAATGTAGAAGCTGCCTTTTCAAGCCAGGGAAATAATTCCGAAAAGGCTCTTTCAGGTAGCAAAAACAAAATAGAATAGAGAGAATCTCACCCGGATTTACCACGGGGGGTTCTTATAGCTTAGATGTTCTTTGACTTGCGGTTTGAAGCAGCAGAGTGATCGGCCATTTTACTGGCCAATCTTCTCCGTCAGCCCTCAGAGATGTCTCGGACAGCTGAGAGAGCCGCCGCTCCTCAGCTGCCGAGCAGAGCCTCCTCGACAGAAGTCGCGCCCTCCAGGGCGACTTTGGACCCGCATAAGGGTCTGCCGGCGGAGGGAAAGCTAGCCGACGAGGAGACGAGTCTCCCCGTGCGACTAGAGATGCCGCGAACCGGAACCGGAAGTCAATCCTTCATGTGATCTTGATTCTATCCCTCTGTTAATGAAGCCCAGCACTGTGTTGACCTTTTTGGCAGCTGCAGCATACTGCTGGCTCATATTTAAGTGATTGTCCACTAGGACTCCGAAGTCCCTCTCACAGTTACTACTATTGAGCAAGGTACCCCCTATATTATACCTGTACATTTGATTTTTCATGCCTAAATGTAGAACCTTACTTTTCGTTTTGTTAGATAGCGCCCAGTGTTCAAGTCTGGCCAGATCCTCCTGTATCAGCCTGTCTTCTGGAGTGTTGGCTATTCCTGCCAGTTTGGTGTCGTCTGCAAATTTGATGATTTCCCCATCTATCCCCTCGTCCAAATCGTTGATGAAGATGTTGAAGAGCACTGGGCCCAGAACAGAGCCTTGGGGCACCCCACTACACACTTCCCTCCATGTAGATGCGGTTCCATTGAGGACCACACACTGAGTACGGCTGGTCAGCCAGCTACGGATCCATCTGGTGGTGATGCTGTCTAATCCACATTTTTCTATCTTATCAAGTAGTAGGTTGTGATCTACTTTATCAAATGCCTTACTGAAGTCCAAGTAAATTATATCCACAGCATTCCTCTGATCCACTAATTTTGTCACTTGGTCAAAGAATGCAGTAAGATTTGTCTGGCATGATCTGTTTTTGACAAACCCATGTTGGCTTTTAGTAATTCACGAATTGTTTTTGAAGAGCCATGATTATTATTTCTTGCACTAAGATTAGTATATGAAGGGGGAATAGTTTTCGTTCCCCCAGTTATTTATAGGTTAGAAACATGTCTACAATCTCGAACAAAGGTAGTTCAATGGTTAGATGAAATAAGAATTCAGTCAATAAAAAGTTAAAATTCAAAGGTAGGAAATACATAACTTTGCATCAGCACAATATTGTCTAGTAATGCAGGTTTATTATACAATTTTTGAATCTGGTGCTAGATCTATTACTATGCCATCACCAGTCTAATACAGGCATAAAACTCAGTGGCTGGAAAAGATACAAGATATCTGCAGGGTGTAAGTTTGGGAAAGAATCTTACAAGATATTACAGGGTAAATAGTTCAAAGAGAATAAGAGGCATGAATGAGATTACAGTCCCTTTAAAAAAGCAGGTGATCTTCCTAATTGGTACTTCCTCTTTCATTTTTGTTGTATGTTTCCTATGTTTATGATAGTTTCACACTCCTTACCACAGTACTTTCTCTTGCAGTATTGTTTCCTATATCTGTCTGTCCATCCATCCTGTTTTGCACTAGTTGTTGCCAGAATACATCATGTAACTAAAAGAAAAATGTTCCGTTTAAAAAATCTTTATTTGCACTATAATTTGCTGAGTGATAGTTGTATGGTGGTGAAGATCCTCATGTTCAGATAACATTTGTAAAATTGAATGGTTTATTAATTTTGCAGTTTAAACTAATTGTGGAAAATCCAAAGAAACCTGTTGCTTCTGGCCTTTACATAACAGCCACTGTGGAATATCATCCGGACAGTGAGGAAGACCTTCATGATAGGCTCCTCCTTCATGTAGAAAAAAAAGTAATTGAAATTCCTCTGATTGGGTATGGCATTTCAACATAAAACTATACTGTTGGTTAAATATTTGGCAAGCATTTGCACACTAAACCCTAACAAATGAGCAAAACTTTAGCTTAGTTTATTGTGATGATTAGTTTGTTTTAAAACAGGAAGTTCTTAAACTTTGTGGCTCTGCAGAGCTCTAAAATAATGTTTTGTGACTTCCAGCTAAACCTAATTATCTAATTAGAGTAGCATTGGATGAGAAAAAAATACACCGCATTTAATAATTAAAATTTTAATCTATATATTTCAGGGGGTCTCAATCTTCGTTGTTCTGAAGCAGTCCATTGGTCTTGCACTAATGTGGAACAAAGCTTGTTCTGACTGTTCCTCCATTTTGTCTGTGCAAGGCCAATCAGGTGGAAAAAAAACATTAACCTTACTTATAAGTGCTTGTGACTGCTAACATGCAGTTTCAGGTTCTTAATTTAATGTGCTTTGTTTAATCTGCTTTGTTATGTGTGAAATATGGCAGTGTCTCTTATACCAAGTACTGTGAGTTTATGTAATACTGAATTAATTTACAGTGGTACTTTTGGTACCCATTGTTAATCAGAAGGCACAATGAGAACCAAATACAAGTACCAAACAAATTTTTCCCATAAGGAATAATGTAGTGAGTCACAAGGCAGCTGACATCAACAAGTTCTAGTTTGTACATTGAGCACCAAACAAACGATGAATATTGGGGTAAAATTTTCGCATCAAAATGCATTGAGTAGCAAATTTGATGTGTTTCAAAGCAGTTGAGTACTGAGGTCCCACTGTAATAGTACCAAAACGATGGTGATATTTCAGGTATTAATTGTGTACTAAATTATTATCTTGAATAGAAATAGGCAATAAGTATTAAATATTTTGACATACAAAAATTTCAAGCTAAATAAAATATAGTTGCAAATTAATATGATTTCATTGTGCTTACAATACTTAAAAACATAGCAACATAAGTAGTTAGTGTATCTGTTGAAAAAATCCCAAAATACTTTATTTCCCTTGAAATGTATTTAAAAATTAAATCAATAAAATGATATAAAACCAATAAAATACATTTTTTTTGCAGATTACGTCCATGTTGTTTCTTAGAAATTGAACCTGAGATAAATTTTGGAACAGTGATTGCGAACAGTAAAATAATACATGCAGTAACTAAAATTACAAACTATGGATCATCCCCAGGTAAATATTTTTATAGAGTTTAGTGTATTTAGCTAGCTGTACACGTAGACAAATCATAATGTAATTTATTTTTGGTTCACCATGAAATATGAACCCATCAAAGCAAAAACAAATGACAATATGACATAGCTCAATGGCTGGACATAGCTTTGGTTATCTCATGCGACATAATAAACCATATTGTACTTTTATTTAGGATATTAACTAGATTTGAACTGTGGCATACATTATGTAAAGACTAAGTGCTTAGTCAAAATATGAAACTGGTTTATTTTATGATAGTGTATCTCAACCATCAATATATTATCAAATCTTGAATCTGCTGTTTATCCCTGGCAAATGCTTTTATGAATGATTGCACAGTGAAATCTCTGTAGCAACAATGTTCTAGTGCAGGGCTTTTCAACCAGTGGTACGGGTACCACCTGTGGTACATTGGCACCTGGCAGGTGGTATGCGACCATCCTAGAAAAGTGGTAGAGGGGGAGGGGAATGAGTTGAACCAGTGGCAGCACCGCACAACCCTGAGCGAGAAATGGCTGGAACTGCAGGGCTGTCAGGGCTCAGCAAAAGCGCCAAGATCAGTGCCAGGCTCCAGCTGGAGCTCGGCACTGATCCTGGTGCTTTTGCTGAGCCCTGAAGAAGCACCAATCAGCTGGAATGTTGCAGCATCTCCAGAGTCTTGTGATTTACATTCAGATGCTTGGCAACTGATTCATATTTATGATGATCACAGTGTCCCAGGATCATGTGAAGTGACCAAAACCTGCTGCAACCACCCAGCAGATGGGAATAAAAACCAAACACTCCCCCCACCCCACCCCCGCTGCCAATCCTCAACAGAAATGTTCACAACAATGCAAACCTTGGACAGGAGGAAGAGCGTGGCCGGGCGGGCAGGCAGGTGTCTCGCTTGGCTGTGGCTTGGGGGGCACTTTTTCAGTGCCATTGTAATTTCGAACAGTCACTAAGAGAACTGTTGTAAGTCGAGGACTACCTGTACTTTATCACTTTTTTCCTTTTTTTGGGGGGGGGTCATCAAGTTTTTGACACCTTGCTAGGCAACTGGTGGTACTCGGATGTTGCCATATCATAAAAGTGGTACAATGGGTGAAAAGGTTGAAAAGCCCTGTTCTAGTGCATGAGCCACTTTTTATACTTTTTTAAATACTTTTCCCCATCATGCAGTCCATAGCCATAAATAGGTGCCCCAGTTGAAGAAAAATGAAGAATTGAAAAATGACAGATTAGTCACTTAACCCAGGTTAATGTTGTATGACCCAATGAATGATGTAAATATATATAAAGAGAATATGATTAAAAAGTTAATTTCTATATAATCTCTCTATATTAATTACATTGGTGATTTTCCTTTGATCCTTAGTGAAAGAAGTTTCATGTAAGTTTAAGAAATTAAAGAAAAAAACTCTTATTTGGAAATAAGCAGCAAAAAGGAGATTAGAAGCTTGATTATGAAAAGTTTTGAAATGGACTAAGGGCCAGATTGACTGGAAATAAAATTATGAAATAATTTTAAAAATATTTCCTGTGGTTTGTTCAGAATGTTATCAAAATATAGAAAGAATCTGAATTTAAGTGTAAGAAATCTTTTCACTGGGAAAATGTGGAGTAGAGAAAAACATGATAAAAGGAGACTTTGGCGGCAGGTTATTAAAAGCAACCATGACTCAAGATTTAAATTAAAGAAGATGTCACACTAATATAGAATGGAGAAAAGTATTTTAACTCTGGGAGAATTCAAGGATTTTTGTCAACAAGGTACTCAGAACTTCCTTTTCAGATTGTATAATAATGGGCTCAAAAGAGGAGATAGAAGATGATACAACTGAGAATCGGGCTGTTTTGGATATGGATTTAAAACTGACAGATTACAAGAATGATGTGAAAGATATACTGAATTTATAAATAAAAGTGGCTGATATTTTAATAGTTTACACAAATAATCAGAAAAATGACTTAGAAGTGTGGATGTCAAGAAAGTTGTCGAAATAAGTCTTTTATTTTGGAATTACAAAAGAGATAGGTTATACTTCTGAAGAAGGTCCTGAGAAAAGAAGCAAGAATGAAAAGATATCGACTTCAGACAGATGATTTTAAAGGAGTAAACATCAAGATTTCAAAAGTAAAAAAAAAAAGATTTATAAAATTGGATTATTCAACCAAAATTAAAATGTGTATTTTTTTCTAGCAGCTTTTTCTTTTTAAAATAAGGACTGAAAGATGAGACTTTAAATATTTGTTTATAGATAAGATATGAAAATAAAAGATTTTTTGTTGTAGTTTTAGAGAAGAAAAGTGTTATATTTGCAAAGGAGTTTCTGAGGAGAGATGAAGAGAAAATGATAAGAAATTTCTGGGATATTATTTGAAAGGATTAAATTTCAGTATGTTGTTTCTGGTAGCTCTTGATCTTTTCTGATTCCTTGAACGGTCAGGGTTTAAATATTTGCTTATAGATACAAAATATGGAACATTTTTTTTTGTATTTTTAGAGAAAATTAGGTTAAGTCACATCAAAGTAATATGAAATTTATTTATTTCTTAGATAGATACATAGATAGATAGGATGAAAGGTTAGGTTAAAATATTAGCGAAGTCATTGTTCTAACATTGCTAATTTACTGAAAATGTATTTGTGTTGATGAAGAGAGAAGTATTTTTTAATATTTTCCACTCTCTTTTACATATTTCTTCCAGCCTTCCCACATTCTTTTTTCTCTTTGCACTTTTTGCTTTTTTGTTTTTTGTATTTTTCTTAATTTGCATTAGTTTTTTATCTTTGTATTTTTAAATTTCAATAAAAATCATTGAAAATGATTTTTACTTATGCATGAATTATAAGTAGCTAATGCTAAATGGCTTACAGGTAAAAATAATAAAAATAGTAAAAACATGTTCAGATGCATCATAGAACCTGATAATTTTTGTTAAAATGACAAAAATAGAGTGACAGCACAATGACGTTTTTGTTTGTACATTCAACTCACAATGGATGTACAAAAGGGCTGGCACTTGTGATGGTTTGACATTGGTCTTTTGTCCTCTTATGAATGAAAAATTAAGATATATTACATCATGCAAATGATATCAAATGATAAACTCCCATAAGCAGCAATTTCCAGTTAACTAGCATCCTCTGCCTTGAAAGCTTATTGGAAAAGCAGTCTTCACTGCTGTCCAAAGTGTAAGCAGGGAATAGAGTATTCCAGAGTAAGGACAATATCATTATTTTGGCATTTCCTCTCCTGTAATATCTTGGAAGGGGGATTTGCAAACTGCCATTACAAATAGGGTAGAAGGAATGGACAGGCTTAAATGTTTAGTTTTCATATAAAGTTAAAGCATAGCAATAGTACTTAGACTTATATATCACTGCATAGTGCTTTACAGCGCTCTCTGAGCAATTTACATTGTCAGCATATTGCCTCCAACAATCTGGGTCCTCATTTTACTGCCCTTGAAAGGATGGAAGGCTGAATCAACCTTGAATTTGTCTGGATTGAACTCCTGGCTGTGGGCAGAATTAGCCTGCAGTACTACATTCTTGAGTTGTGTGATTACTTGGGATTAACATTTATTGTTAGCTTTACCTCAGAGGAATGTATAAGTATACATTAACAGTATCTGAAGAAAGATTGTACTTTTTATAAACTTAGAATGATGTCTTACAATATGACTGAGGAGAAATAGCTGAGGAAGATAGACAACCTTGATGAGATCTCTTGATGATGATGCATCTTATTATGCTGTTATTGTGATCCTTTTATCATTGGAGGCAAAAAGATTAGTACATAATTTTATGTGTATTGACTAGATGGTTTTGTTTTTAATTTATTTAATTTTTATATTTTAAGGTACATTTGACATAAAATACAGAGGAAATGTTCCTATTATTATTGCACCAATCAGTGGCGTGATAGAACCAAAAACAATGAAATTGATTAAAGTGGAGATATGTACCGATGTACCAAAAATAATTAATCAACTAGCCACGTAAGTGCAGTATATTTAAATTGCAGTGTTGTCTCTTTTGATTTACTTCTTGAATTAAACTTTATGATACATATAAATAAATAGAAGCATATGCCTTATTCTGTAGTGTTCTTTGCCCTTTCACTGCATAGATATGTTTAGTTACTTGAGTCATTGAAGTAAGTAAAAGTATTGCCAATTCAAGTGCAGTCTATGTAATAAGAACAATTTGAGTGAATGATAGAATCTTTTTGTTGCATACTACTCAATTTCCTATCTAAAGAATGGATGGCTGTTACTTCAATAAATTATATGACAGCTCAGTACATTGGGTATTACAGTTTAATTAAATCAGACTGTTTAATTTTATTTAGGTAGAATGCAACGGTAAACTCCAATTCTAAGTAAAATCTAATTTGAAGCCTCATTTAAAAATCCTTCTTATATTGAAATTTGGTGTTTCCTTTATTATTCCAAATTGGGGATAATGAAGAATTAATTCAGTTATAACTCTTCTAATATTATGTAATATTAAGAGCACTTACTATTCTGATAAGAAACATTGAATGTTACAAATAGGCAACTGTTATAAGTATAAGTTATAAATGTGTGTGTGTGTGAAAAATGCTAATACAATCTTAAATTCCAAATGATTAATATGGCATTATTAATCTTAAACTGTGATTGTCCTGAAGCTCACAATTCCGTTTTATCTATTGTTATCCAAAGTGTGGAGTTGCAGGGAGGACCCACTGCTGAGATAAAAATCAAAGCCAATATTGTGGAACAAGTTCTTGAGGTTTTAGGTGTGCCTCACTCAAATACTATTCAGTGTGTTAATTTTGGATGTGTCTACTTTGGAACTTCCAAGATGGAAGAAGTTATTCTTCACAATAAAAGTCCAGAGCCTGTGGATTGGGTGGCAGTCTTGATGGATAATGCTGTTGGTGGAGAGATGGTAAGTAAACTCTTGATTTTAGGCCTGCTTTTAAACACCTATCTTTTTTTCAGCAGAATTCCCTTTCTTCTCTGTCATACTTAGAAGCTATCAAAGGACAAACAAAGTTTGTTACTTTTTACATTTTGGCTATTATTTGTATATAAATGAGAGTTCCTATTATTCTTGCCCTTGATAATGTGAAAAGGTAAGAGTATAACTATAGGCCAGATTTGGGCTTGTTGTATTTTTAAACACAGTTCATATAAGCGTTCAAAAGCCATTTCAAAAGGCAGATTTAGATTTCATTCCAGTAATGTCCACAAATTTACTTCTGACATCTCCCACAAATAAGTGAATGGTATGAACATGGACAATATGTTAAAGTAGAACTAAAACTTACCCATTGCTTTGATATTATATGACTTTATTATTTACTTTTAAGGTTTCATGAGAAAGCTGTAGGGATCTTATACACCAGATGAATGTTGTAATAGTTTGGGTATTTCTGAAGTGCATGCCTGTCATATCAATGGACATTTGTTGATGAATAATAATTGTAGACATTTATTACTTTTAAAATAATATACTAGCCATTTTTTAAAGGAAAGTTTAGTGGGGTCTAGACTTGGTGACAAGTTTTGTTCACATTTTTATAACTGTTACCTTTTCAGCAAGTTTATTGATCTTATATATGAGACATCCATGTAAATACATGGAGTAATTAATTTTTAGCATACTCATTTTATGTTTTCTTAAAGGGCACAGATATTCAGCAGAGTTCAAATGCTGCTTTGAAAGATTATCCTGAAAATCAAGGAACAGATGTTTCAACTTTGATTACTTGCATTCCTAATGAAGGAACACTGCAACCTTATCAGAAGACTGTGGTTTTTCTTTCTTTTAGTCCAAAGTAAGTAATTTTGTAAACTGAAGTAATGAGCACAATGAAAATGATAAAAGTTGTAGTGCGTGTATATATGTACGTAGGTCTATATACATGTATACGTACACACAAAACCCATGTATGTATATTCCTAATTTCATTTAACAGAATTTATTTTCTTCACTATAGCAATAATCTGTATCTATTGTATTGTAATTAGCCTATTTTGATATCACCCCCACAATATAGAACATACCAAAATATAAATTCTATAGAATTTTAAAACTATTCTTTTTTAAGATGAACTGTAGTAATATAATTTTCCAAATCCGATTATGCTTTCCCTCTCTTATATCCATGTGAATTGGGGCGCTGGTGACTGGTTATGAAACATTTACACATACCTTCTTGTTTTGGGCTTAAGCAATGTTCTCCTCATTGCTTTGGTAAGAGATCTGTTCTTTGTCAAGGTCGAGGTGGCGCAGCAGTTGGAGTGCAGTACTGCAGGCCACTTTAGCTGACTGTGTTCAGCAGGTCAGCAGTTCAAATCTCACTGGCTCAAGGTTGACTCAGCCTTCCATCCTTCTGGGGTAGGTAAAATGAGGACCCAGATTGTTGGGGGCAATGTAAATATATATATATATACATTGCTTACTGGTGTACACCGCTTAAAGAGTGCTTGCACTTAAAGCGGTATATAAGTCTCATAAATAAATAAATAAATAAATAAATAAATAAATAAATAAATAAGGTCATCTTCCTTATTTTCTATATTAGGTGAAATGCTTTAATGAATTCCGTTTTCAAGAGGCAGTGAAAAATATGTATGGTTCTTCTTTTTATTCTTTCAGATAGGGGAAATAAGGTCTCTATCACTTGTTTTCATTTCTTGCTGAGGTGAGAGTTTTTTTAGTACAAAAAGATGATTGTTCTTACTGTTAAAGGATTATTGAACTATGCAAGCTCAAGGTGCCCCAATAGTAGAGGCTAGTATAATTAGGCAACACAGCATCAGAAATTATAAAAAGGGGTGGAAATGCCAAATACTGTATATGCATATGTGTTCAATGATTTAGAATTTGGTAAATTGAAATTTTAATATGAAAATAATGTCATTGTCAAAGATGGCAAGACAGTTTTGAAATATTCATTATTCTGAATTGTGAATAACATAATCTAATGTAAGTATTACATGTGGCCTTATGATTAACAAATGAGAATATTTATTGTGAAAAGATTCTGTTGAAATTACATAGAACATTTCAATTCTACATATCCTGATTTTGGATAAGTTAAATTTACAGCCTGTGGTTCCTTAAAATTATGGTATCTGATGCCCTTTTATTTTACTATGTAGTTTGATATCAGCAGTTACAAATCAGTAATCTGAATGATAGAAATGTAAATGTAATTTTAAATTTTATATGCAGCTGCAAATTGACAGAGACTTTGACAGAACTCCATCACGAAAAGATTATGCTGTCTTTTTGAAATTTGAAGCTGTAGGAAGCAAAGATGATTTCTTACACACAATGCTTGGTGCTGAAATACCCATCCAAGGTATGGTATGGGTAAATACTGAATTAAGTGTAAAATAAATGTATTTTCTAGGAAAAGTAATGAAATCAATGTATGTATTGTTAAAAAAACATAAAATTAATTTCTTGATGAGCATCTAATAAAAACAAGTTCTTCTTTCTAATGTTCTGTGTAAGATAAAGATTTTTTGAAGTTTGTAATGCTATAATGCTGATCTCATGGAATTATTTATATATTTCATTAGATAACATTATAACCATAATATTGATCACAATTATTGCATCCTATGGAATTTCTTGAAAGTACATTAATTCATATTCACAAAATAACATTTCTAATAAATTATGCAGCTTTTGAGAGGCCTTATTTTGTTAGCCTTTCTGAAATTATAAATTCTGGTTCTAGATGGGACTGCCAAACATCACAGTTTGGGCTTTAAGATACTTATTATTGAATGTAATGATGAACATTTTCACTAGAATAAAATTTGAAAATTATAGCAATAGAGTATATGTAGAGTTGTTTAAGATTGTTTGAAACTATAGTTTTTACATAGATTATTATAGGATACTGAGAATCTTGAATGTTTGAACTATATTTGGAAATCACAGTTATTTGATACTGCTTAGTTCCAGAATATAAATCTTTTTGTAGTCTTCATGGCAAGAGTCAGGGATATTGTACTGGCCATTATTTCCTGTCCATTTTAACCAAGAACTCTAACTCATTAAATCAAAGCATTCATGAGCTATGTATTGGTTTATGCAACCTCATTACTTGTTTTAATGAATGAACGTTTTAATATAGGTAATTTGATATTACAACTGAGTTTAGGAATATTGATCATTTAACCCAAATAAGATAGATTTGTTAAGTCATTTTAAGCTAGAATTTTTTTGAAGAATCCTGGATTGTTTTAATATGGCAAACTGTAACTCCACCTTCAGACATCACACTAAGTTAATTATCCTCATTTGTGTTTTTGTTCCTAGGAGCAGATAAAATCAGCTTATGAACAGGCTATTTGAACTATCGCATAGTTTATGCCCAAAGATACAAACAATATATGATTATGGCTATCTTCTTTGTTTTGATGAATTATTTATTTATTTATTTATTTATTTATTTATTTATGAGACTTATATACCGCTTTAAGTGCAAGCACTCTCTAAGCAGTGTACACCAGTAAGCAATGTATATATATATTTACATTGCCCCCAACAATCTGGGTCCTCATTGTACCTACCCCGGAAGGATGGAAGGCTGAGTCAACCTTGAGCCGGTGAGATTTGAACCGCTGACCTGCTGAACACAGTCAGCTAAAGTGGCCTGCAGTACTGCACTCTAACTGCTGCGCCACCTCTGCTCATGTAATTCTTAAATAATTACAGAAAGATCTCATTTCATGCTATGCAGAGGATGCTAGACATTAATATAAACAAGTGACATCAATTTCCTTGTTATCTATAGTCAAGGTTAATCTGATAGGGAAGATTAAGGTACTGCTAGTCCATCCACTCCCAACTTGCCCCTCTCCTTCATTTAATTATTTCTGTTAATTCAGCAGACTTTAAAAAGTCACCTACAGTTGATGTATTTAATAATACCTGGGCTTTCCTTTAGGAGTTTTCACTTAAGGCAGCAACTGCATAGCTTTACCATTTGAGTGCAACCATTTGTTTTCAAGAATGCTTTATTATTCATGTGTACTGTTCTTTGTCCCCTTCATGGATTACTGCCTTGTCGTGGCGAAGGGGCTTTGTGTAACTCAATGAAGCTATAAGCTATGCCGTGCAGGGCCACCCAAGACGGACAGGTCATCTAGCAGAGAGTTCTGACAAAATGTGATCCACTGGAGAAGGAAATGGCAAACCACTCCAGTATCTTTGCCATGAAAACCCCATGGACAGTACTAAAAGGCAAAAAGATATGACGCTGGAAGATGAGCCCCTCAGGTCGGAAGGTGTCCAATATGCTACTGGGGAAGAGCAGAGGGCTAGTACTAGTAGCGCCAGAAAGAATGAAGCGACTGGGCCAAAGCCGAAAGGACGCTCAGCTGTGGATATATCTGGTGGTGAAAGGAAAGTCCGATGCTGTAAAGATTTTTTCTCCATAGGAACCTGGAATGTAAGATCCATGAATCAAGGCAAGCTAGACGGAGTCAAAAAAGAGATGACAAGATTGAACATCGACATCTTAGGAATCAGCGAACTAAAGTGGACAGGAATGGGTGAATTTAACTCAGATGACCATCAGATATACTACTGTGGGCAAGAATTCCTCAGAAGAAATGGAGTAGCCTTCATAGTCAATAAAAGAATAGGAAAAGTAATACTGGGATACAATCCCCAAAATGACAGAATGATCTCAATTCGAATCCAAGGCAAACCATTCAATATCACAATAGTCCAAATCTATGCCCCAACCACTGGTGCTGAAGAGGATGAAATTGACCGGTTCTATGAAGCCCTACAGCACCTTATAGAATTAACACCAAAAATGATGTCCTTATCATCATGGGGGATTGGAATGCTAAGGTAGGAAGCCAAAAGATAACCGGAATAACAGGCAAGTTTGGCCTTGGAGTACAAAATGAAGCAGGGCACAGGCTGATAGAATTTTGTCAAGAGAATACGATGGTCATAACAAACACTCTTTTCCAACAACCCAAGAGACGGCTCTACACATGGACATCACCAGACGGTCAACATAGAAATCAGATTGACTATGTGCTCTGCAGCCAAAGATGGAGAAGCTCTATACAGTCAGTAAAAACAAGACCAGGAGCTGACTGTGGCTCAGATCATGAGCTTCTCGTTGCAAAATTTAGGCTTAAATTGAAAAAAGTAGGGAAAAGCACTAGGCCACTCAGGTATGAACTAAATCATATTCCTGATGAATATACAGTAGAGGTGACAAATAGATTTAAGGAATTAGATCTGATAGACAGAGTGCCTGAAGAACTATGGATGGAAGTTCGCAACATTGTACAAGAGGTAGCAACTAAAACCATCCCAAAGAAAAAGAAATGCAAGAAAGCAAAATGGCTGTCTGAGGAAGCTTTGCAAATAGCTGAGGAAAGAAGGGAAGCGAAAGGCAACGGAGAAAGAGAAAGATACACCCAATTGAATGCAGAATTCCAGAGAATATCTAGAAGAGATAAGAATGCCTTCTTAAATGAACAGTGCAAAGAAATAGAAGAAAACAACAGAATAGGGAGGACCAGAGATCTCTTCAAGAAAATTGGAGATATGAAGGGAACGTTTCATGCAAAGATGGGCATGATAAAGGACCAAAATGGCAGGGACCTAACAGAGGCAGAAGAGATTAAGAAGAGATGGCAAAACTACACAGAAGAACTATACAAGAATGAGCTTAACGTCCCAGATAACCACAATGAGATGGTCACTGACCTCAAACCAGACATCCTAGAATGTGAAGTGAAATGGGCCTTAGAAAATCTGAGCAACAACAAAGCTAGTGGAGGTGACA